GCGCCGGCACACCGGGTTCTATTCCCGGTCGGGGCGCCAGATTCTGTCCCAGTTGCTCCTTTCCAGTCCAGCTCTCTGCTGTGGCCCGGGAGTGCGGTGGAGGATGGCCCAGGTCCTTGGGCCCTGCACCCGCATGGGAGACCAGGAGAAGCACCTGGCTCCTGGCTTCGGATCGGCGTGGTGTGCCGGCCGCGGCGGCCATTGGAGGGTGACCCAACAGCAAAGGAAGACCTTTCTCTCTGTCTCTCTCTCACTGTCCACTCTGCCTGTCAAAAAATAAAATCTCCCAACCAGGATCAGGAGCCTCACTTATGCAGAGAGCAGCAGTGACGAGGAGGATGCCCAGAGCCCTTCTCTGCTCTCTGCTGCCCTCTAGGAGTTGAGTGATGTAGGGTGTCTGGGCAGAGCCGGGACCGGGGAGCAGGTTTCCGCTTGGAATGAGGAAGGCTCCAAAGCAGCGGCACATTCATTGATCGGGAGGTGGAGGCCACGGAGATCTCCTCTGGGGCCCAGCCCTGGGGAGGTTCCCCGGCAGTGAGATGCCAGCAGGGGGCAGGACTTCCCCAGGGCTGTTCACAGGGGTGACCGCAAAGCCAGCGCTGGCTCTCAGTGTCCCATCTCCCCACCCACAGCTCTTTCCGGGGCCTGAGTTTGGGTTGCATTCGGGAGTGGGCAGGGGTGGGGGTCCTAGAACTGAGCACATGGATGGAGTCTTGAGTTTTACGCTCTGATGACATGGTCTCTGTGTGCTGTTAGCAACAGCTGAACTGCAAAGCGCCCATCCACCTCCCTCACTAAGAGCCAGAGTCCAGGGAGGAGAGCAGGTGTTTGGCAGGTGGGGTAGAGCCTGTGTCACAGTAGACCAGCCAAAGCGAAGGTTGGCAACCCTGTCACTCATTTGTCCTTCTGCCTGGGGTGTGGAAGGTAGGAGCAGGGTGAAGGACATCTCTCAGGAGGGGACAGTGCCCCCCGAGCCCCCGCTGGGCCGTCCCGTGTATGCTCCCAGACCATACGCACTGAATGTTTCCTGTCTGGGCTTTCAGGAAGCCAGATGTTAACCACCAGGACCTGTTTCCTTTGCACAGCATCCAAAATCCAAAATTTGAATTAAGGAATGTGACTCTAGAGAGCCCGTTTTCTTTGTGCGTGGTAGGAAGGAGCCGGCGTTACTCTGCAGGGAAGGGTTCTGTTTGTTTCGCCGAAGCTCTGGGAACTGGACCATGTCAGCGCTGAAGGCCCTCAGCCCAAGCCAGGGGTTCTCAGCACTGGCTACATCTCATATTGGTTCAGGGGACTTTTGAAAGTACTGCCGCCGGGGAGCCACCCCTTAAACCTTGGGGATTCCAAGGTCACGTGTTCTAATTTGTTGGGGCCTGGACATCTGTATTTTCTTTTTGTTGTTGTTTTTTTTTAATTTTTTTCTAATTTTTATTTATTTATTTATTTATTTATTTTGACAGGCAGAGTGGACAGTGAGAGAGAGAGACAGAGAGAAAGGTCTTCCTTTGCCGTTGGTTCACCCTCCAATGGCCGCCGCGGAGGCGCGCTGCGGCCGGCGCACCGCGCTGATCCGGTGGCAGGAGCCAGGAGCCAGGTGCTTTTCCTGGTCTCCCATGGGGTGCAGGGCCCAAGCACTTGGGCCATCCTCCACTGCACTCCCTGGCCACAGCAGAGAGCTGGCCTGGAAGAGGGGCAACCAGGACAGAATCCGGCGCCCCGACCGGGACTAGAACCCGGTGTGCCGGCGCCGCTAGGCGGAGGATTAGCCTAGTGAGCCGCGGCGCCGGCCGGCATCTGTATTTTCTAGGAGCTTTGTAGGGGACTCCAATATCTAGGCAGGGCCGAGAACTAGTGGAACTGCTGTGATGCAACCTGCAGATGGAGAAACTGAGGCACAGAGAAAGGCAAGGCCACACTGCAAACCAGTGACAACCTGCAGCAAGGCCAGGGAACAGGGAGGCCCGCCAATGACAGACCCAGGGCTACAGCCCCTCTCCCTCTGCTCAGAACCCACCACCCCTGATGCACAGTCCCCTCTTGCAAGTCCCAGGCTCCCTCCGGATCAGGGTCGACATGGTTTGCATGATGCTGTTAACAGGGAGCCTATCAGGGTCGACACCCAGCAGGTGAAGGGAAGACCACAGGGGCCCTGGTGCAATGCAGGGCTGGGACCTGTGCTGCCTGGGACAACAGAAGCAAGGCCTGAGGGTCTGCTCAGGAATCAGAAGACCTGAACACCCCTGGGAATGGCTCAGGTGTGCTCCAGCACCCTGAGCCCACAGCAGCAGCTAGGCCACTTAGAGGGGAGGAGCAGCCTCCAGGCAGGCTTCCTGGAAGAGGTGGGTAGGGCTTGGCCATATTGATTGGTAGAGGGAAGAGAAAGCCACAGTGGAGGGACCATTGTGGGGAACAGACGGCAGTAAGGAAACAGAGCGAGTGTTTGGGGACCTAGCAAATAGCTCAGTTCCTTTTATCATGAATAAAATATCTACAGTTTCTTGGACTCTCTCTGTGAGTTAGGCCTCACACAAGGAACATCGCATTGATTCTCTTCCTTAACCCTCGTAGCAGCTCGGCAAGTTCCCAGTTTGCAGTCAGAGTCACACAAGGGCAGAGATTGGGAGGGTTTGAAAAAAAAAATCTCTATATCTCCAGCTCTCAGCACAGAGCCCGGCACATGGCAGGTGCCCAGGAATGTTTGTTGACCAAATGAAGCGATTAATCTAGGCTGTCCAAGGCCGCCTTGGTCAAGGATTCTGGAATAGCCATCACCTTCCACCACCAACAATACTGCTGGTTGAAGGATTCGTTACTACGAAAGACCTTGGCCTAGATCCAGCATGCAATAGGTGCTCAATAATTGTGGGCTTAATGACCAGCGGGCCTGTTCAGTGTAGATGTGAAAAGTGCAGGTGCCCGCTCGGTGGCCGAGGGTTACCCCCTGCCCTGACCCATGGGAAATCTCCGCCCTTCTCTCTCAGCCCTGCTGGGTTGTGCCTGGTTCAAGGTTTGCCCTGAGCATTAAGTGCAGGAACTTGTGAGGCCCCTAGGAGGCGTGGTGGTGGCCACAGTTGTCGTGGGAAGGCTGGGCATGTGAGCTGGGGCGCCACTTCCCGGCTCCCCGGATTTGCCCCCAGCACACTGCATATTCCATGTGCTGCCTCCCCACGCCGAATAAATAAATCAGCGCCGCCTCCTCTGAGCGACGGGAGCTGACCAGGGCATCTGCTGGGCACAGGACTTCAGACGGCCGGCACAGGGATGCTGGCGCCCCAGCAGAGTGTGCTAATGTGACATTTGGGAGCCAGGGGAACCCCGGTGAGCGACAGCGTGCTGCCCGCCCACCACCACTCCAAATGGCAAGGACCCTGGTGGGGAGAAGGAAGTGGCTTTTACCACTCCTGTAGCTCACCCCCAGCAGGCAGAAGTGTGGCCTTGGGGATTCCCTGATGGGTTTTCTGAATGTTCTTCAGGGACCAGCAGCCACCTGTATTCTGCAAAGGCGCTCGCTCTGAGCTGCTTCATAAGCTCTGAGCGCTTTGCTGGCCGGAGTCTCCGGCTCCAGGGGCCCAGCCGCACCGTGTGGGCACCCTGCTTGTTAGGGGCAGTGGGCTCGCCTCTCCGTCCCTGTTGCTTTCAGGAAGCACAGGTGGGGCTGTGGAGTGGGCAGCTTACCATACAGGCAGCTCAAGGCCAAGGAGGACCAGAAGCTGTGGAAAAGTCCAGGGTTTGAATCTGAGCTCTGCTTTTGGGATTACAGGGATCCTGGTCAAAATCCCAACCTGCCCATCCTTGTCTGTAAGGGGGCGCTGAGACCACCTGCTCCACACGCTGTTGGAGCTAAATGAGAAACTGTGCATGAAACAGCACAGATCCTGGCCCGGTGGGAACCTCCCTGCCAGCTCCCCGACCTTGCAAAGCCTGATCTGCCCAGGACTCTGGTCTAGGCCCACACACCCTGCCCCTCCCTCTTATGCCCACCTTCCCCAAATCTGCTGGCTTAGTGGTCACCAGCATCCCCCACTGAGCCCTGCCTGAGAGTCTCACCGTCCCAGTTTCTTGATGGCATGTGACATGGTGGCCAGGTCCCTGGAGGAATTGCACCTTTCCTTGGCTGCGCAGATGCCCCCTCTCTCCTGGCGTTCCGGCCTCTCCTCTGTCTCCGTCGAGAAATCTTAGCTCTGCCCGCCTGCAGCTTGTTGCTGTGCTTCGATCCCGCACTTGCTGCTCTCCTCCTCCCAGCGGCTCACTTTCCCTGGGCCCTGCTCCAGCTCCCAGCTTCCACGCCAAGGGCCCGACTCTCTTCCCGCAGCCCGCTCCCCTGCCCTGGGCTCCGGGCTCCAGCACACCTGTACCTCTGGGATACACAGGGACCTTGGGCTCAGCACTTTCAGAATAGAACCATCATCTCCTTCTCATTCACTCCCTCTTGGGTTCCCCCACTCCGGGAATTGTGGCTGAGCCTCCAGGTCACCACACCAAAGCCCCCCTATTTTTCTCCTCTCATTGGGTCATCCGGTTGTCCTGATTTTGCTTGGGAAAAAAAAAAGAACCCTTTGTAAAATCTGATCCCCCACCCCGCCACCTCCAATCCTCCTGCCATGGCCTGGGCCATTCCTGATCATCTTCACCTAAACAATGAGGGCGAAGGTGCATTTGCATGTGAACACACACGGAACAAGTCAGGTGCACACGAAGGAGCCCAGGGCAGTGAGGGGCCCTGCCCACCCTGCCCCAGCAGCCCACCATGCCTTCTCAGAGAGGCTGCTTTCACCCGAAGTGGGTGGCAAGAAGCAGCTGCCAGTTGGTGAGGTGGTGTGAGAGGATGCCGCAGCTCAGCTCGGCCTGGGGGTCTGCTAACCAGCAAGGGCATTGGAGTGAGCAAAGAAGCCTTTGAGGGTATGACCAGGGCCTGTGAGGGGAGCAGGAGCTGGGCTGAGAGCGCCCCGATGCGAACCCAGGATCCCCATCTAACAGCCACTGTGTCTTGCTCTCTGCAGACAGCAGGGAGGTGAAGGTGGGAGAGTACAACGCAGTGGCTGACACACTGGAGATCATCAATGACACCATCAGGTTCCAAGGTAAGGCCGGTGGGCTCCTCGAAGCAGAGGGCCCTCTCCGTTGTCTGAGGACTGGGGACGAGTTCAGAGTGCTTGGCTTCATGAGACCTAGGGTGCATCCTCCAGACACGCACACACACACACACACACTGAGACAGGGTCCCCGTCACTCACTGCCCCCCCGCTCCTGGGTGGGCCCCAGGAATTTGCATGGAGTCTGAACCATTGAAGGCATTGAGAATTCTCATAGAATGTAGCCTGGTGACATTTTGCACTACCTCCTCCTGTAAAAAGCAGGTGGTTGCATTGTCAACAAGTCCCCTCCTCCCACTGCACTTCGGGGAAGACCATACCCCCCCTTCTGCTAGAGAACTCCTCCGCGGCTTCTACAACCAGGCCAGTGCCATCTCCCCTGTGCAGCCTTCCTTGACTGCCTCCCAGCAGATCCAAAGGCCTTCTTCCCTTTGCTCCCAGTCTTTTGTCTCTGCCTCTCTTACAAGCCCTGTCGCTTTGCATTGACATTACTGGGTGACTGCATCACGAGCCCCTGCCTCGATCCTGTTTAGCTTTGGATTTCTGACACCAGCTGGGATCCAGCACATGATGGATGGAGATGAAGTGATATTTGGTGGAAAAAAAACGAATACTCAACCAGATGATGGACAAGTGGTGGGGTAGATGGATGGGTGGCCAGGTGTGTGGATGGCTGGGTGGGTGGATAGATGAATGGATCGATGGATGAGCTGGGTGGATGAACGGGTGGGTAGATGGGTGGATAGACAGATGGATGGATGGGTGGGTGGATGGATGGTTGGATGGATGAGCTGGGTGGGTGAATGGGTGGGTAGGTTGCTAGATGGATGGATGGGTAGATGGGTAGATAGATGATGGATGGGTGTCAGCCTAGTCACTAGATGAATAGCTCACTGAGTCAGAAAAAAAAATTGGGGCCATCCGGCTTCCCTTATGGAGTCCTTTCTTAAAGGCAAGACTGCCCACCAGAGACCACCCTTCCACAGACCCTTTGGTCAGGCCTTGCTTTGTCCCTGTATATCCACTCATCTATGAGATTCTACTTCGATAACACACAGAGGTGCAGTCAGCCTCCCAGGGTGGCTTGTGGTGTGGTTTCCATGCTCCAGTGGACCCGCCCACCACCTGAGGGGTGCTCACCAAGCACAGAGCCACAGAAACCCCATCCCTGCAGAGGGTGACACCCCAAAGTCACAAAGCCTGCGAGGGGCACGGGTCATTGCAACTGCCAGAGTCCTGATCCCCAAGACGGGCCCGGCTGCTCCTAAACCCGAGAGAGCAGGTGTACTGAACAAGGTTTCTGGGTTTGCAAACTGAAGAAAAGATTTAAACAGAAAGAAAAGACACCCAACATAACTGACAGGAAAGCCTGGATTTGTGGGGAGGAAATACGGACCAACACCAGATCAGTGGCTCCGTAAGCAACAGGGCACCAGGTGACTGTGCGCAGGCCCCACCTCCTGCAACTCTGAACCTCCCCCGCCCCTGGAAGGTGGACAGCCAGTCCCCGAACCAGAGCCCAGTGAGAGCACCCCCACAGTCAGGGCAGCATCCAGCTCCTCCCCACACCTCTGCCTGGCCTCAGTTCTCATCCTCTCTCCTGGACCCCTGCACCACCCCTCAAGGGCTCTGCCCCTCAGCAGTGTTAGCCCCCCTCAAGTCCATTCTGCCCTCGAGAGCCACAGCGCTGTTTGTGTCAAGCCGGACTGAAGACGCGCCCCGGTCTCTGCTCGACCCCACTGCTCCGAGTAGGGAGCCTCGCTCTGCGCTGTGGCTCCAAGGCCTCCATGAAGGAACCCCTCCCCACTTCTGTTGTCCTCTCTCAAGTCTCCCCTGCCCGTGCTTCTAGTTCCCCAAGTACTGAGGCGCCCGCACACCTGTGCTTATGCTGTGTCCGCTGCCCGGGATGCCGCTTCCGCCTTGGCTTCCTGGTGAACAGCCAGTGGCTGCACTCATGTTCCAGTCTCCGCTCTTGCTCATCTTCTCGGGGACTGTTTCTGGCTCCATCTGGGAAAATGCACTCTGCCCCTGCCCCTTGCTTCCTACTCAGGCCTTCCTGCACCCAATCCCTGGTACCCTACTGTCAGGGGAGGCAGCTTGCATGGAACTGGGCAGATCTGAGTTCAAATCCTGCCAGCTTTGCCACTTCTTATACACAAAGGCTACCAGATACCTAGAACACGGTTGCCTCCTCTACAAAATGGGGATAATCTGATCTGCCCACGAGAGGGCAAGGGAGAAAACCTCCATCAAGAATTCAGCCTGCAGCAAACACTCAATAGGTGTGGATGCTTCTTAGTGTGTTCTCCTGTTTGTATGGTCACTGCAAAAGTCCCTTGAGGGCCAGACTGTGTCACATCCATCTTGGTACTGTTGGTCCCCACATCAGGCCTGACAGGTGGAAGATGATCGTGAGTGGTGATGAGTCATCGTTAATGATGATGAGAGGATGAATGGCGAGGAGTGGAAGCCCCTGAGTGAATGGACTGGGTGACGAGCGAGAAGGCGGATCCAGGCCTGGCTGTGACTGTCACCTGTGACAGACCATCCCCGTTTGGTTTCTATAACGTGTACTTTGCAGCGGAGCCTTTAAGGGGGAGGAGTAGTGGAGGGAGGAGGAGGTGTCCCCAGGACTGCTCTCGTGTTTGGGAGCCCAAAAGCACCTGAGACAGCCTCCTGCAGCCTGGATGTGTGCTGCGGGTGAGAGGAGTGGAGCTGTTACTTCCAGCGCTCTGGGCCAGGTGCCGGCCCTCGGAGTCATTCCTGTCTCTGGAAGTACTGAGAACTTCACCTTGACTGTGCCAGCGGGCTTCCTAGCTGTTTCGGAGCCCGACATCTTCCCTAGATGTTGTGGATAGCTCAAACTCTTGTTATCCACTAAATGTTTCCAAACACATTTGAACTTGCTGGCAGAATCTTTTACACACAGATGTTCAGGGGCATTCTCTACCCCTGCTGCCACATCTGCTTGGCCCTCGCTTCTGTGCTGGGAACAGAAGCATACCCAAGGCTGGCACCCATGGTTGGCCAAGGGATCTACAGGATGCTTGGTGGGGCTCCCTGGCTGCTGGCTTGGCCCAGCAGCTGGCTGGCTCTACACAACCCCACTGGAAGGAAAAGGTCTACTGATTCACAGTTCCACCGCAGAAACCTGACCTGAAATAGTGGCCAAGAAAAAAAGGGAGTTGGCAGGAAGCCAAGAGAGCGCCTGCCGTCCTCCTCCCGAACCAGCCCCTACCTGGAGAAACTAACAGGGAAGTCCTGCCGCTGTGCAGATGGATGCATTTGCCCCGAGACCCTGCATGGGGTCATCTGGTGCCCTGCAGAATGAGCAAGGCAGCTCTGTAGGCACGTGGAGACGTGGAATCCTGCCTCCCTGTCCAGTCCCAGCACAATACAGAGGGCAAGGTAGCTGTGCCTCCCACAGTTAGCAAGTCTTACGGAAACAGAAGAGCTTGTATAACGTAATGACCTTGAGACAGCAATCTGCAGGCAGAGCACATGCGTGTCACCGTGCAGTGACGGGCAGGGGCCACCCCGCTGCGGACTGCTCATCTGTCCTGTGTATGTGTCCGAGCAAAGTCCCCGAGACCAAAGCCAAGTCCCTCACCCCCAGTGGCACCCAAGGGGACCCACCCAGCCAGCCCTGTGTCTTCCAAGCCTTATAAACTCTTGGGGATAAACGGTGATGGTTTCTCAACAGCATAATTAGACCAAATCAGATTCTGGTCTTCTAATGGCTATTAAATGCATCACAAATCCCTTATTGAATCTATTTAGAGAAAGAAATAAGTCCTGGCTCAGGCTCCTGGCTGGGTAGGCCAGCCAAGCGCTGATGTGCCTTACATGGAGTTTGGATGCAGGGCCCTGGCCACATGTCGAGGAAACTAAGGCAGAGGTGCTCTGGGGCTCCCCTGAGTGTCTTCTCCTCGGCTTCCTAGGATCCGAACCCCCAAAAGACAAGACCATCATCCTGGAGCAGCTGCGCCAGATCTCCCTACCTCTCTACAGCATCCTGTCCGCCCTCACCATCCTGGGAATGGTCATGGCCAGCGCTTTTCTCTTCTTCAACATCAAGAACCGGAATCAGAAGTAAGCAGCCCCTTCCTCTGTGCCAGGACCTTGCTTTGCGGGTTGATGAGCCTCCCGGGCAAAGTGTAGGAGCACCCGTGCCAGGCTGTGGGGCCAGCGTTGCCCAGAGTGTGGTGCTCGGGTGCTGGGGTGTCGCAGGTGCTGCAGCCAAGCAGGGCTGTGGAGCCCACAGCAGTCTATGGTAGGCTGAGGCCGGGGGAGCCTGGGTAAGGTGAGGGTCCCTGTCCACGGGCCTTCTCAGAGCTTGGCAGATGCTTGTGCACCATGTGGTGGAGCAGAGACTGAACACAGACCCCTGAACTTCTCCCCTGGCCCCTCAACATCTTGGGGATTCACGGCTGCTGGGGTTTCTGAGTCCAGTAGCAGGGACTCCCATGGGTCCACAGGCCATAGCCCAGGAAGCCCCTGCTGTACGTTAGCCCTCTCCACATTACAGATGACAGCTCTGAGGCTCTGGCCACGTGAAGCAGGGCCTGGCCCCTGCATTTCTTGTCTTTTTTATTTTTTTTGTAAGATTCATTCATTTATTTATTTATTTGAGAGGCAGAGTTATAGAGAGCAGAGGCAGAGAGAGAGAGAGGTCTTCCACCTGCTGGTTCACTCCCCAAATGGCCACAATGGCCAGAGCTGAGCCAATCCGAAGTCAGGAGCCAGGAGCTTCCTCTGGGTCTCCCACACGGGTGCAGGGGCCCAAGCACTTGGGCCATCTTCTACTGCTTTCCCAGGCCATAGCAGAGAGCTGGATCAGAAGTGGAGCAGCCAGGACCTGAACCTGTGCCCATATGGGATGCCAGCGCTGCAGCTACGCCACAGTGCCAGCCCTGCATCTCTTGTTTTGCTCCCCATCTCCTTCACTCCTCCTTCCCACCCCACTGGAAAGAGGCGTGCTCTGAGTTCCTCCGCTCAGCTTTGGGCAGCACTGCCAGCACGCCAGGCAGCGGTGTTTACCAAGCCAGCCAACTTCTTCAGTTTCCATAGCAAATCCCTGACCCCAGCCCCTTGCTGTGCCAGGGACAGGTTGAGCAGGGCTGCAAACGCCCACGTGGCGCGGCCTCACAGGCTGCCCGGGATGAGCTCCATTCTGAGGGACACTGTCTTCTCCGTCTCTGCTTGCAAAGGAGGAGCGTGGGGGCCCCAGGCCGCTGTGGGCTGTGGGTTGGTTGGTTTGTGTCTGGGTTGCTTTGTCGTTCTTGTTGTCTTGGAAGCAATTCCTTAGGTGGAACCTATTTCCTAAAGAGCAAAAACGCTGTATTCACCTGTTGGTTTTATTGTATTTATCCCAGTCCTGGCTCCACTGCCGATCCCAGCTCCCTGCTAATGCACACCCTGGGAGGCAGAAGGGATGGCTGCGGTGCCTGAGTCCCTGCCCCCCACCCAGGGCAGACCTGGCTCCTGGCTCCGGCCTATGCTAGCCCCAAGCTGTTGTGAGCATTTAGGGGCTGGACTAACATGTGGGAGATTCCCCCCCCCCTTTTCTTCCCTCTCTCCCTCTCTGCTTTCAAATACATGAAAATAAATCTAGAAATACGAACTTGAGCACTGTTTACATACTCTGTCCAAGCCTTACGTGATGGCCGTGATGGCCATACCTATTAGCACCCGCCCAAGGCTTGGGCATGCACTCAGCTCTTAATGAGCGTGCAGCCGCCTTCCTGCAGGCCTCAGGAACTCCCTCACAACAGCAAGCTGCCCTGTCCCACGACTGGCCCCTTCCATGTCTTAGCTACCCCATTTTGGCCTCCGGGGGGAAATGACTGTCGCTCCCTAACCAAGAGGTAGGTGCCAGTGGATTTGTCGGCTGACGTGGCTGTTGGAAAATCTGCCAAGAGATAGGAGGTGAATGTCTCCGTACTTCCAAACCCCTCCTCCTCTCTGTCTTCCTAAAAGCTCCGCATCCCTTAAGGCCCACCTCCTCCAGGAAGCCTGCCCCCACTCTCGGTCTCTCCTGTCCGCTCCACGTCTGCTGTGCTGATAACAGTGAAGTCATTTAGCAGTCAGTTCTTGGTTCATGCAGGGACTTCCGGGAACCCAGTGTCTTCCCAGCTTCTCTCGGGGGCCCCAGGCAGTGTGATCAACTGACCTGGTTTCCCGGGTGACGGAATGGCAGCGTGAGTGACTTGCCAAGGGTGCACAACTGGAGAGTGGCTGAGGCTAAGCTCTGGGCCAGTGGCCCAGCTGGAAAGCCAGCGCGTGGTCCACCCCGAAAACAGCACAAAACCAACAGCACGCTTTCCGTCTCTCCATCCCTTGGACGTGTACATGTTTAAAATGTGAAGGATTCCTAGGGCAGAACGATGCAGAAGCCAAAGTTTGGGGGAAGCTGACCAGAATTATCATCTGCAAAACAGGATCTAGGCTGTGGGGCACCTGCAAACCTGACCCTTGATTGCGCAGGGGGAGCCAGGGGCCTTCAAAGGGAGCCTCCAGCCTGCTGACGGCCTCGCTCAGACCTGGCTTGCAGGGCAGCTGGGAGCCACAGCAAGATTCCTGAAGAGAGGAGCAGACGAGGGTGTGCAGTTCAGGAGTATTAAGAATGCCCCCAGCTGCAGCCTCGTGGAAGTGGGGTGGGTGGGGGGGCATGGGCTCCACTCTGCGCCTCTCGTACCTAGTGGCTGGGGCTTCCCGTCATGCGTGTGACACTCTCTGTCCCAAGCAGCGGGAGCTTCCCCAGCGCTCAGAGGCTCCCCATGCACATCCACTCTGCAGGGACCTCACTCAGAACCCCGCAGTCTCACCCGCAGACCTCCTTGGTATGGCCCACGTGGGGCAGGGGAAGGGGCGGGAAACCTCCTCCCTCACGGTGGAAATCAACTTCAGGGCAGAATTCTTCGAATTCAGCGTGAGTCCCCATCTCCACGCACAAAACCTTGTTGACTTAAGGCTTTGCGTCAACCACTGATTCCTGGGTAAAGATGCTGATGTCTCTAGAGAAGTGATGGGGGGATTTGACAAGAGGCGGGAAGATCAACAGTTAGAAGCCTGCAGGTGTTGGGGCGCGGCAGGGGGAGTGGAGGAAGCCAGGGCTTGCGGTTTTCTGGCCCCTCTGATCCTTGGTGACATTGCAAGCAGCAGGTGTTTGCAAAGCCTTCGTTGAAGGACAACTACATGGAAAGGTCTGTGATGGTCTTCCCCCTCCCCCTCTCTCCCATCAGGCTGATAAAGATGTCCAGTCCCTACATGAACAACCTGATCATCCTTGGGGGAATGCTGTCCTATGCATCCATATTTCTGTTTGGCCTCGATGGATCCTTTGTCTCGGAAAAGACCTTCGAGACGCTGTGCACTGTAAGTCGCTCTGCGTACACCCGCTGTCTATGACATAGTGGTTCCTTGGTGACCTCAGCCACCAAACACACACATCTGAGCCTGGGAAGACACAAGCAGGCAGGCAGGGCGCCTCCCGCTCAGCAGCTCTGCAGCACAACGGGGAAGCGCGGGGTGACTTTCACACCAAGACAGGCATCGCCCTTGCCTGTAACGTTTCGATACTGGGGCTCACAGGCCGCGGAGAAATCACGGGATAGCATAGGAGAGGGAGGACAGCGCACCAGCAGCCAGAAACACACCAGCAGCCAGAGTCAGGGCCGGGCCTCGGGAAAGACACAGGCGCTCCCGCGGTCATCCCCGAGCGTGGTGAGAGACGCGTGCTCGGACCACTTGGAGCCATTCATAAGAGCTGTCATTGTTATCGTCTAGTTCAGCCACATTTCTCAACCATTACTTCTCCTAGTCGCAGCCCTCAGCAGTGTGATTATTCTAGGCGTTTTGTTCTACTCACCTCTTCCATGAAATTTTAATGCTGGAGCTATGCATTGTGTCTGTCTGTGTCCTGGCTGTGGACCTATGGTCTCTAGATGGAAAGAGTGATGTTTTCACATTCAGGAACCAGCGCTTGTCCCCTAGGGGGGCTGTGTCATCCCAGTGAGAATGCATGCATTTAAAGGAAGCCCAAACAATGTGATGTGCTCACTGTATATTAGAAAACTTATTTTAAAACTTAATTAACATTTGAAAAACTTCAATGCCCGAACAAGTGCCCTTTAGTTAATTATTTGTTAAAGGAGCTCATGTGTTAGCTGTTCGCAACCAGGAGGAGCTAAACTCTCAGTTGAAAGAGCCTCCTTTTCCAGAATGAGGTGACCAGCTGGGAGGTATTTCTAGATTTGGGTGCCTGTGATCTCTCAGAACTGGGTTAGCCCTTTGGGTCTTTTTGTTCTAGATGCAATCGTTCATCCACTTCTCCTCCTGGAGGGCCAGACCTGGTGGGGTCAGTGAAAGCACCCGTGTGGTCTGGATTCCTCCAAAAGCAGCCTTTTGCCTGCTGCTCTTTTAAGGTGATGAGAGCCATGATTTTGCAAAGCGGTCATTTTGATTCTGTTTATTGCACCAAAGTCTCCATGTTGCCCTCTGCTGGGCGACGATGGTGGTGAGGAAGACAGGGGGAGGATGCGTGGCTACCAGCCATGCCTCGGACATCCAAGACTGTGTCTGGCCCTTGTTCTCTGCAGCGCACATGGAAAGGGGGCAAGCCCAGGGGACCCAGTGTGTGGGCTGATGCTGCCGCCCCGGTGCCTGGTTAGATCAGACGGTGATGCGGGGTCCGGGCTGTCAGTGTGATCACTAACTTCCACATGACATGTCCAGCATGGGAAGTGTCTGCCAATGCACGCTTGTTCTAAAGTTCCCACTGTCTCACCGAGAAGTGCCTGGTCAAGTCCCGGGTACCTGGAGGGGTAGGAAGGTCGCTAACCCTCCTCTCCCCAGGTAGCCCAGGAAGGCAGGGGGCAGGTGCTGGTTCCCCCAGGGCTAGCTCTGTTCCCTCTGTGCATGCAGAATGTTGTCTTCCAAGCTTGGCACTGCCCCTCCTGCTTTTCTGCCCTCCTGGGAGCTCAGGGGGTGAGTACAGGAGAGGAGAGTCCCGCAGGTTTCTGCCGCAGGTGCCAGGAGTCAGCTTCAGAGACGCCAGGCGGCTCTGCTCGCCAGTCCCTGTGGGCTTTGTGCCCACGAGTGTGACCGCCGATGGCAGCTGGTGGAAGCCGTGCAGGTGCAGCGGCACGGGAAGTCTGTTAAGTGCCCCTACCCCCAAGCTGCAGCATCCACGTGACACTCGTACCCCGCCTTGCCTCGCCATTCCACGGGCATCATCTTTTTCTGTGGTCAGCCTTCCTAGGCAGTGGTGAGGCCTGGGTAGCGGGCTGCCCCTGAGGAAGTTAAATGAGAGGGAAAGCAAAGATTGCCCTCTGCTGTCTGTGCTACTGAGGGCTCCAACCTCCTTCCTCTGGTATGGATGACACCGTGCTGAGGATAATCATGACCATGGCACATCTCATTTATGCAGCGCTCTGATCACCCCGTGGCAGGCATCCCGGAGAGGTGGGCGGCCTGCCTTTGCCCCCAGCTGAGAATCACAGCCGTGAGCCTCTGTCCTGGTTCTGCCCTGGCCCCAAGCCCTCCTGGGCTACCTCCTGCCTGGCTCCTCATCACAAGCTGCCAGCCACCTGACAATGCCCCCAGAGAGCTCAAGTTCGAGCCTTCGGTGCAGAGAGACCCAAGGCAAACACGGAGAGCCGCCCAGCCCGCAAAAGCCTCCCGCTTCCAGGAAGCAGCCTGGATGCCTCGCCCTGTCCGTGAGCCCAAGGCTGCTGGGGCACAGGTGCTCTCTCGGGTTTGACCTGGATTTTACAAACGCTGGCTGACGCAGGCTGGGAAGCAGGAGCAGGGACATCCCCCACACATGGGCTTGTCTCTTCCTGAAGCCTGGCATTCTATTCTGGGAGTCGCGCTGGTTTGTGTGAAGGGAGGCTGTCCTGGGAAGCCTGCGACAGCAGTATGAATAAATCATAAAGCACTTTACAAATCGGCTTGAGCTCCGAGCGCGAGGGCGCAGGAAGCCGGGAGGGCCTGCCTCTCCTCACCCCTGAGAATTCATTTATTTGCATCAGGGCTGTCTCAGAGGCTGCGCAAAGGGGAGCCCGTGTTCATGACTGCGGGGAAAGGCATAGATTAACTACTCCGGATTGAACTGGGTCAGCACATATGTGTCCATGGGTGAGCTCTGGGGTCGTTTACTGAAATAAGTCCCAATAGCATCTGGGTAGAGGGGTGGGAGGCTCTTGAATTTGGAGACTAAATACCAGTCCCACTCCACCTGCCATTGCAGGCCTTCAATTCTGCTCTCTCGGGGCCCAGAAGACCCCCAGTAAAGCCCCACCAACGGGGAAGCAGGGCTGTAGGACCAAGTGAGCGCAGGTCCGGGAACAGCAGTGTGGATTTGACAGTGTGGTCAGCTCCTATGCTGACCAGCTCCTGGCTGGGACAAGTGACTTAGCCTCTCTCAGCCTCGGTTTTGCCATTGGTGGAGTGAATGTGGCGCTAGTGCACCTGCAGGACCCCTTTGCAGGCTAACTGACAATCAGACAAGCTGCCGGGTGTACAGCCTGAGTGTGGGCTGGAGGGCCGTGGCAGGAGGGCTAGGCATCACCAAGTAATTCCCAGAGTCCCACGCGGTACCAGGGCACTTCCAGAAGGCCATGGAAAAGGCAATCAAGGTTATCTTGGTGCAAAAATGTTTGAAATCTATGCATAGCTTTTTATAATACGTGTCAGACATGAACTTTTGGAAGAGCCCTCCTATTCTGTAAGAAATCTGAGAGCATACAGGACAAGGTCAACCAACAAGTCGCCCTCAGGTGGAGTACGGTGTTCATCACAGTTTAGTCTTTTTTTTTTTAAGATTTTATTTATTTATTTGAGAGGAAGAGGTACAGAGACAGAGAGAGACAGAGATAGAGGTCTTCCATCTGCTGGTTCACTCCCTAGATGGCCACAGTAGCCAGAGCTGGGCCGATCCAAAGCCAGGAACCAGGAGTGGTCTCCCACATGAGTGCAGGGGCCCAAGCACTAGGGCCATCTTCTGCTGCTTTCCCAGGCCATAGCAGAGAGCTGGATCAGAAGTGGAGCAGCTGGGACTAGAACCAGTGCCCATATGGGATCCTAGTGCCGCAAGCGGAGGCTTAGCCCACTGCACCACAGCGCCAGCCCCATAGTTCAGTCTTTTGCTGCCACTTTTCCCCCTCTTGTAGTTTTCAGCATAGGAACTAAACACAATGAATAGCCAGGAACCCCACCTTGGGATGAAACCTATGACTTTCATGAGATGAGGCCCTGCAGGGTGCTCAGGGCCACGATAAGGGCACTAAGAGGCAGACGGGAAAGAGTGCAGGTGTGAGCCTGCATACATGTGCACACACATACACAGAAATGCACACATGTGCACATACACACGCATGCGCACACATACATACACACAGATATGCACACATACATACAGACGCATGTGCACGCAGATACGTGCACACACATGCACGTGCATGTACACACTGAGACACACACATGCATACACTCAGACACACACACACACACACATACACACAGCTTCTTCAGTTACACTTGGTGCCCATCCTGGGTCCCTCTGACCCTTTCTAGAATCATCCCAGCCTGTCCATGCTGGTTTCAGCAAGGCGTGCAAACAGCTCCGGCTCCATCCCCCCCTCTCTGGACACTGCGTGGGTAGTAGAATCACCATAGCAACGGGGGCCCTGTGGGCACAGCCTGGAGGATGGTGCTGGGCGTGGGCCCGAGCGCCCAGTGCCAGGGAGAGGGAGTGCCCACTCGCAACCGACAAGCCACCCTGGCTCGGGTCCCCCAGTGCTCTCCTTGCAGAGGGAAGAGAAGGGCTGTGCTCTTCCTCGCGGAATGGTGGCAGAAACCCCAGCTGGAGCACGAGGGCCAGGAAGGCCCTGAGCAGAGAGGAGGAGGAGGTTCCCCGGGCACCTGCAGGCCCCGGGTGGCCTGCCTGGCTGCCCAGTCCCAGGATGGCTGGGGGCAGGGCGGGTGGTGACAGCAATTCCTGCCGACTCCCCGACCTGTGCCCTCGTGCAGTTTGGTAGCATCTGCTGTGACTCGCTGACAGCCTGCTGCCTGCCGGGTGCACCTCACCGGCCGGGCCCCACAACCACTGACAATGCCAGGTCGCTCCAGAACTGGGTCTGCGTTGCTAGGCATCAGGGCTGCAGTGGAAACGAGCTCTGTTTGATCACAGAGACAGCCGAGATGCTTTTAAATAATACATATTTTTAAAAACTTTTTCTTGGCTGACTTATACCAGGAAAGCAGGTCAACTCAGCTCTTAGAGGTCTGGCAAACAAATTTTTTAAACTGAGATAGAACTCACTGTAAATGCGGCCCTTTTGGCCCCAGCTGAGGGTACCGGATCCAGCTGAGGG